GGGCGGCCCTGAGCCCGGCGTTCCCCAGCGCGGCTGTCCGAGGCCGGCGAAGCCATGGATGCCGGGACCCCTGCGCCGCTGTCGCCGCTGCTGTCCGAACCCAGGTAGGGAGCGCCTGTCGCGCGCGCGTCGCGCCCGCCGCGGAGCCGGGGCTTCACCCCTAGGGACCTGGGTTCTGGGACATTCTCTCCCCGACTTTTCCTGGAGGGTCTTTTTTATTTCTGGAGTTCCTTTTGCCTCGAAAGGAGAAAAGCCCGGGGTGAGGCAAGTCTTCATTTGGTTACTGCGTTGCACAAAGGCACGGAGAGAGGCTGAACCCAGGGAAGGGACGTGGCGGGCCGGGGGGCGAAGTAGGGGGCTTTTACAAATTCCCCCACGTAAAGACCAGCACGGTTTATAAAACTTGGCATCTAGCTGGTGTGTGAAACACTTTGGGTTTTAAATCCCTAATTAATGAACTTTCAACAGTGCCTGAGAACTTGAATTGGAAAACCTGAGAGAGATTTTTCCTTATTTGTAAGTTCCGCCCTTCCCCCCTTCATTAAGCATCTGCGTACTTTTGAATAAAATGGAACTGGAATGTGACCCTAGCCTTCTTTGAAATGCCCTTTGGGTCCCCTGAGTGGCTTCCCCTTGGGATGCGGGCCCCTGGGTGGCGGTGGGCAGGGGTGGAGGGATGAGGGTGCCGCTAGGAAAGAGCGTGTGTTGAAAAAGGGTGCCAAGAGCAGATGAGGAAGTGGTCTCAACTGCTGCATATTTAATAATGAGACAAGCATCTCCCGGTCGATAACTTGAGTCTCGTTGACCTTGGCAGTCCGAAGAGGTGAGCTTTCCACAAACCACCACTGAAGAATTTTTCCAATGATTTAAGAAGAAATCAATGTTTTCCCTCCCAGCCACCCTCCCCCTGTAATTAACTTTAAAAAAAAAACCTTAAAACTCCTTTAGTAACTTAGTACTTTCTCTGTTCCATTGTGGTAGATATTTACCCAGTGAATTTAGAGGGAGTCAGTGTTCCATGGGGTGGTTCAAATAATTAAAGAATGGGATGCTTATTTTCTTCTGTCACTATTCAAGTGAGGATGGCAGGGACATGCTTTGTCCCTGCATCTTGTAACCAAGTTACTGGGAGGAGTCAAAAATGAGAGGTTGAATGAGAAGGAAGTGTGAAGTGGTTACTGCTTTTAAAGGCAGTAGTTTGCTACCTTAAGGAAGACAGATGGTATGGAGGCCGAGTTTCCAGTGCCTTTAGAATACCTTAACCACCCAAGCCCAGTCTTGGGGCTCATCTTCTGAGCTGAAAAGGTAGAGTTTTGGGACTATTTGTATGAAATGTCAGCTGTAGGAAGCTGCCTGGATTGCAGAAACAAAAAACAGCAATTAGAAATCAGGGTGCGTCTTATTCCCTTTGCCTGGTCTCTGTCCATCCCACCCCAGCTCTTTCTTTTCATCTAGGCGGTGCTAAGTGCTTACCTTGGGGTACCTAGCCCCAGGGTCTGGCCTTAACCATTTTAAAGATTTAGATATCTGATGTCATCTAAAGATTAATGTGACCAAATGTATGTCCTAATAGCTTTTACATGTCTGGAATTTAAGTCAAAACAAACACTTGATAGCAACTAAATATGTTCTTTTATCCTTAAAATTGGAATGGTTCCCCTGACTGCAGCTGGGCCTGGACGTGCCCCCCTGGCTTATCACCAGCCCAAGGGCAGAGCAGATGCTGCCCTCATGCCCTGGAACTGCCTTGGAACTGCCTTGAGTGGGTGCCCCTAACTCCACTGACCTTGCTTCTTGGAATGGACTGAAATTGATGGCCAACCTCCAGTAGCTGGGCTTCCTCTCCCTGGGCTAGTTCCGATTCCCTAGTTCCACAATTTTTCAGTAAGCCTGAATACTGGACTCTTTGGGTCTTGGTTAAATAGTACCTAGCTCCTGCCAGTCTTGTGTTTGTTTTCTCTTGTTATCATCACATTGATTATCTGGTTGCAACTAGACTTTCTACTTAGCTAGAAAAGAGGTGGAGACAGGCTCCCCCAGGGCAGGGCACATCTGGAGACCTTGGGCCACTTGTAGGCTGAACAGGTCACCAGGCACAGTGATAGCCTTTCTTAATCTGGTCATCACTTGAAGTGTTATTTAACAGGAAAAAGTGAAACTGGAATCTGTTCTTGCAACTTTCACACCTGAGAAGATTCTAGTCCCATAGAAGTGGAGATCTTTAGAAGGATGAGTAAGAGAATGAAAATAATACTACCCTAAAACGTACTTAAAACACACCGTTCCGATTATATATGTCGGGAAGCAGATAATTAAAAGAACCCAAAATACTGTTTTCGTGTTGTCAAGCATCTTAAAAGAGAAGTGTGAGCTGCAGTAAATACTAAAACCTAAAACAAAAATATGTCTCAAATTTTACAATCACCAGTGAACTCTCTTCAGTGTTCAAGTGCCTCTCCAAAACCAAATGAAATTCTAATCTGGCCTTGGAGACATGTGTGAAGAACTGCCAGACACTTTGTGGGGTGCTGGGATCCAGACTTAGCAGGCAGAGTCTAGCAGTCTTGGGGGAAGCCACTGGAGAATTTCAAACAGAGCAGAACTGTGTTTTCCGTAGTTTGCACCAGCTGCTATGAGAAAATGAAAAAGGGAAGAGACAAGCTGAACACTGGCAGAGAAGAGAAAAGGGCATTGATTCCAAAGACATGAAGATAGATAAAGGTATTTAGGATATAAGCTCAAAAAACTATTAGGTAATTCAAGTCCCTGAAATTGACTTACATGTGTACTGGACTGTGGTGATGGCACAGGGGTGAACTGGTGGGAAGCCCATGGGGGTTACCACTGAGATGGAAAAATGTACAAAATGAAGAATAATGTAGAAAAATAAAAAATATTATACACACACAGACACACACACATATGTATAATGGTCCCAAACAGGAAACGATAAACCACATTTCCTTGCCATGTTTTCTCTGCTGACTGAAGCTATCTTAGAGCCCCATGTAATTTCTCTCCATCAAAGAAAAAGTTTTTGATCAAGAGAATGAACTAAATATATTTTACATTCTCCACAACCATGTGCTTCTTTAGGTAGGCTTCAATAAATTGTTACCTACATGTTATATGTGTATTTACTGATTTAGCTCTAAAAATGATCCGATTTTTGGTTGTGTAACTAGTAGGAGTGGACAGTAGAATGGGTTTGTTTTTTTTGTTTGTTTGTTTTTAAAGATTTATTTATGCATACAGAACTGGGGTATAAACCAGAGGCGGTGAGAGGCTTCACCAGAGACAGTGGGGAGCAGAGCAGGCAGATCGACGAAGTACACTGCTGAGGGGAGCAGCGAGAGGGTCAGGCGAGGTCTGCCACGCCATGTGGTCACCTCCGAGGTCCTACTAAAGCGGCTGCAGCCAGCTTGCTTTTCTGCACCCTAACCTGTTGCACCACCAGGGAGGGGCCTGTATAGCTTTTTAATACATGTATCTGGATATATTTGTAATCTACTTGTTTGTTAGTCTCAGGGTCAGTCTCTGTACACAAGAGAAAGAAAAGAAACTGGAATTTACTTTTTTGTTTTGTTTTTGATGTTAAATCTCTGCCATCTCTCCTCTCTCCCCTCCCTTTGATAACCAAGGACATATCTTGGTTCATATATGTGCGATAAATGCAAAGATTTGATTCTTATTTTCTGACACTAAAATAGTAGCCTTCTTCACTGGTGTTCCCACAGTCCAAACCTCGATCCTCCAGAATATATATTATAATCTGGAAATGACTGTACGTGCAAATCATTGTTAAGGATCACATCTACTTAGGTTCTCACTAGAACTTACAGGGTCTTACTTACTTTTGATTCCTAATGAGTTTGGCCATCTGAGCTCCTGGTCTACAGGCAAGAAGCATGCTTCACAGGTTCAGTGTATGGCTATTAAGATAGGTGTGAAATGTCATAACCAGCTGCTAAACTGTGAAGCTAATGAAGGCTATGATTAAATCCTAAGTGCACAAGAAACGAAGTCTATTTAGGGAAATGAACCCCTTCCTTCTCCTGTCCCCTGCACCCCACCACAACACACACACAAAGGATACTTTCAAGACCCTCTACGGATGCCTGAAACCACCATAATACCAACCTCTATATATACATGTTTTTTCACATGCATGCTTACTTGGGGTAAAGTTTAATATATAAATTAGGCACAGTAAAAGATGAACAACAGTAAAAAATAAAATAGAACAGTTAGGATAATGTGTTAGAATGAAAGTTACATGAAATGGTTGCCTGACCTAGCTGCCAAAAAGAAAACATGCCTTAGATAATACTCATGTGTATAGGCAAAAAACTCAAGGGCTGGACTTGTGAATAATTTGCATTACAGCTTATTTTCGTGTCTGGTCTTCAGAAAGTATAATGTATTCCAACAAAGGATTTGGATGCCAGTTTTGAATTTTTTGTGCCCATGCTATTGATTGTACTCACGATGCAGAATAAATGCATCTTTTTTTTTTAAAGATTTATTTAGTCATTTACACAGATCTGGGGTACAGGCCAGAGATGCGGAGGGTGAGAGGATTCACCAGAGACAGAGTGGGGAGCAGGACAGGCAGATCTACGAAGTACACTGCTGAGGGGAGCAGCGGGCGGGTCAGGAGAGGTCTGCCTCGCCATGTGGTCACCTCCGGGGCAAGCGGGGATCGAACTCATGCGGAAGTGGCTTCAGCTTCTTAGTGCAGTGCTTTAACCCGCTGCGCCACCAGGGAGGGCCCAATGCATCTTTTAACTTAAAAAATATATATATATACAAAAAAAGAAAAAACTAAACAACACAAGTTATATGAATGCACTTCCCCTCTCCAAACATCCTTTTGTTTATTTTAGTTGACAGCTAACTCTGAATAAAGGGGCTATTAATACATTGCATTTTGGAAAAAACGATCTTCAGTGCTGTTTAGAGCTAGAAAAGAATCTTAAAAATAAATTGGTCTAACTTACTAAGTGTACAGATGAGTAAACTAAAGCTCGAAGAGTTTAAATGATGTGTCTGAAGTCATATGACTGGTCCCAGCAAAATGGTGCTGGGACCAGAATCTAAGGAC